AAAAAAACCCAGAAAAGTGGTTGTGAGAAAAGCCTCATGCTAGAGAACCACTTGCCACCAACTAGAGGCTAGACTGAAATAGGGGCATTCAGCTCAGAATCCAACTACCACCATGAAGAGCTCCGCTCCCAGACACAGGTGCTCATGCCCCACCTCTGGCCGGGTGCACATCCTGATTCACGCCAACGTTCACACTGAAAGTGAGACAACCGACAGCAAAGGGAATCAACCAACTCTTTAGGCTCATCATGTCATAAAGGAGAGCTGATGGAGAATGTGGTTAGTTTTATGTGACCCGTGTTCACCTAAGTTCCATTGTTCGCTGCTGCTTAGTGTCCCAGTGCACTGTTCCAAGCCCAAGCTGAAATTCCATTTCTGGGTTAACAAAAAGCACAGGAAAATAAATCACGCCTGCCCTAGAACTGAACCCAAACCAAAAGCTGCCAGAGAGGAATTTGTGAGTTGATTTTAAAGTCAACTTTAATTCTGAAGGAAATGAACCTTTAAAAAAAAAATCAAATAACAGTGTATGTAGTATACAGACAAAACATTAGTCTATACTGCTTTAATTTGGGGCCTTTGAAAGCATTTTCTTTCTCAAATGGGTACTGCCAGAGCAAAACTTTTCCCAGAAGATGTCTTGAAGCCAAATACTGCAAAAATAAATATTTTGTGCTCAGGGGCCATCAAAATCTTAGGTGTACCTCCATTTTCTAAAGGAACATCCAACTTCTCAGATGTATCTCTATAACAAAATTCCTATAAAAATGTAAACCATTTGCCCAACACCCAATACTAATTTCTTTCTTCCATCCGGGTTTAGTTTATACAGAAGAGTGGTTGGTAGCTTTTGAAAGTGCAAATTAACACTATTCTAGACAGTCATGTCAGGTGAAAAAGCACTGTGTTGGGCTAGAACACAGTTGTGTCCACAACTGATGTGGAAACCACACCAGAAGAAGCCCAACATGCTTTCTTATAGTGAGGCCAACATAAGTCCATCCCTCTACCACCCAGGATCAGAGGTGATGTCCCTACATAGTAGCAGCAATGGTAAGACCTACAGAACATCTTTGTATCTAAAGTACTGTTGTCCAATAGAAATATTATGAGACACACAGATTTATTTTAAGTTTTTCTGGTAGCACTTAAGAAAAAGAAACTAGTGAAATCAATTTTAATATTCCACTTTATTTAAATCAGTGTATCCAAAACACTATCATTTCAGCATCTAATATTTAAACATTATTGGTGAGACATTTTACTTTTTTTCATACTAAGTCTTCAACAACAGGTATATTACAGTTGTGACACATCTCTATTGGACTTGTCACATTTCAAATGCTCAATAGCAAGATTTGGCTAATGGCTACCATATCAAACAGCATGGATCTAGAATGTTTAACATGAGAATTATTTCCTTAATAAATGAAAAGCTCAAAAAACTTTTCATTGCATCATTTTTCTCCCAGTACCCCAGTAAAGTAACTAAGAGTTATTAGTTCCAGGGATAGCAAATAGAGCCTTCTGAAGAAAAGGAAGCTGACTCTTGTATCCCAAATCACACCAGGAGTAGGCTTGGAAAAAATTTCTGGTCATCCTGAAATCTAGAACATGCTGCAAAAGACCAAGCCTTCTATGTATGTGCACCCAACAAACAGAGTACCTATCAGTCTCCTCTCATTAAAAATGTGGCAAATTCCCAATTCTCCATTTATTTCAAATCGATACCTAGTTTTTTCAGCTATATAATCCCATCCATCCTTTTTCAGATAGTTGATAACTTCATTTCCTCTCCTAGTATCCTACTCCAAGCCTTCCTTTCCTGTATTGTCAATAGCCAGACCAACTCTACTCTACACCTGGGAATTCTAAAGGGAATTCTGCAATAAGGTTCCTAAGTATAGTGAAAAAACCACCAAACTATATATAAAACATTCACTTAACATTAACTTCTAATCTCAAAATAACCAGGTAAAATTTTTAAAAGGAAAAACACAGAGAATAAATCACCATATCCTAGAATAATAAAAACTATAGATTGAACTTTCAATCTATTTCAGTCCTTAAAAAATAAAGACCACACATAATTTATATAGAAAGAAGACTATAGATTTGAACATACTAGAGTTCAACAAGCCTACATTCAAACCCTAAACCAACCACTATGTGTCTAGAGTAAATTGCTTAATCCTTCTGAATATCCATCATCTGTAAAAAGTATATTTAATAAACTCTATCTCTAATATAGTTACAAAGATTACACAAAATAAAACACTGAACAGTTATCATAGTATATGGGTGTTAATAAACATTAGTTAATGCCCACCCACCCAGCCCATTTATTACTTTGTGTAAAGCAGAAAATACTCACCTGAATTTATAGCTCTAACATCAAGAGAAATCAAAACCCTATGTCCCCAAATTTTCTTTCTAATCTTCTCAGAATGAGGAGGGGGCTGGGATGGTGAATAGCTCAGCTATATACTACTGAGAACAAAAGTCTATAAAGAACTCTAGTGACTGGTGTCCTCAACAGTTCAACCACCTCATAACTCAGTACTTCCCTCACCCCAAGCACATAGTACTGCCAAGATTAATGTGGTGCCGTCATCATGGAGGCATGTGTGGGGTCGTAAGGGAGCCCAGGGGAGAACACTTAGTTCAGTCTGAAGAGGTCATGGAAAGTTTCCTGAAGGAGGCAGCCACTTGATCTAAGCCAGGCAGGAAAAACTGTTAAGGTCAGTAGGGACAGGGGTGGAGAAGGGAAATACAGAGAAAAGGAATGGTGTGTATGAAGACATTGGGTGTGGTAGGTTGAGAAGAACTGGAAGCAGTTCTAACTGATGGATTATGAAGTGCTGTTAAATACATGCGAAGCCTGGAGAAGCAGATAAGGCTGAGGCCAGGAGGGACTTCATACAGTGGAGGAAGGACCATGGCCTTTATCCTGTTGGTGATGGAGATAGCAAAAAATGAGACCGTCATTGGAAATCAAAGAATTGGCATGAGTAAAAAACAAGAAGGAGCTCTTTGGTGGGAAGCTAAGACCTGAGTCACTTAACATAACAGCAGATAGAAAGAAAAAAACATTGCCATGTTGCACTTAATCCATTATTTCTGCCATTGTTTTTAGAAAATACAGAAACACACGGAAAAAGAAACATCTTACAAGGACTTTCATAGAAAAGAGGTATTTATTAAACATTAAACAAATGATTTTGGTAAAATATCATTTCACCAGGAAAGTTTCCCCTAAGATTGGGCCTTGCCTTCCTAATTAACATCCAAGAAACCAAGTGTGGCATCAAAGAAAAATCAGCAATGAAATGACAATACGGTTTAATCTGCATGATACCAGGATCTTTAGTACCTTGGAGTCACTGTCCCACAGGGCAAGGGAGAGATTAGAAGGGGTCAGGCTCCTAACAAGTTTCTCATCCTACTCAATACCACTGTGAGGATCATAAAAATTTAAATCTTTCCAGTTATTGTTTGTCACAAAAATAACTTCACAGTAATTTTTTTACATTTTCTGAAAAAAAAAAACGGTCTCAGAAAAATCTACTAGAAAAATGGCAAAAACGAAAGAGAAGAGAGAATATGACAGAAAGAGCAGAGGACTGGGACTGAAGTCTTAGGATCAAGACAGCAAGAAGAAATTCTAGAGGAAGTCCAATTCTAGGGAAAGCTGGCGGGAAAGTATTTAAAAGGACAGCTTGGGGATTAAAAGAAGAAATGTGTGCCCTTCTAAGGCACCATGTTACTGAAGTTTTCAAACCTTTCCATCTTTTTCTATTCATAGTCTACAGCTCTAAAGAGTAGTCTAAATAATCAGCTGTTACAGATAAGGGAAAACAATTCGAGGGCTCTAAAGAACAGTCCAACATCAAGGCTTCTTCGCTGGGCACAATCCCTCACTGATACCATAGGTCCTTCCTTAAAACATTAACTTATGTTTGGGTTTCCACATTAACTCTATCAATTTCTCTCAGAAAGGTTCAATTCTTTATCATTTAATCAGTTCTTAATTGTCTTCACTTTCAGTTAGATAAATAGATATAAACAGAAACTGGAACCAAATATCTGCATAAAAATCACTTAACTTTCAAAAAGAAGTAGAAACTTTATCTGCCTGAGATAACATCAGAAACTTCTCAGAGGTTGTAAAATTAAGCAAAACTACTCTTCTAATGTCAGGGGCCAAAAATACCTACCATTGTCCTATATGCAAAAAGGGATATAGAAAAGGAAAGCAGAAATGTAGATGGAAGACATGAAAATAATGTCATCAAGAACACCTGCCACCCTTTTGTGTGATCACAGGACCTGACAATGAGATAAGCTTCTGTCTGTGAACAAGCTCTGAACTCCTACAGTCTATATAACTTTTCTTTTCTTTTTTTTTTTTGAGTTGGAAGAAGGATGAGTATTTTAATAGCCTTTTCACAAAATTTTGAATATCATTAGATACTACACCAAAACTTGGCAAGTTGTAATTTTTCTTTTTTTCTCTCCAACTTTACCGATATACTTGACATATAACACTGTGTATGGTTAAGGCATACAGTGTGATGATCTGATATATATAAAACTGTGAAATGGTTAAGATTAACATATCCATTACCTCAAACGGTAACCATTTTTTTTGTGTATGGTGAGAACACCTATATTTTCACATTTAAGTATGTTTTTTTCCTCTCAAATATTTATTAAGCATCTACTATGTTCCAGGTCCTGTGCTGCTTTTCCCAGATAATAACTTCAGAGTCTGTCAATAATGCTTCTCTCTCCTATCACCACAGCACCTAGCACAGTGCTGAATGCAGAGCAGCTGCCCAAGAAATGCCTGTGGTATGATTTGTTGTTATGTGAACACAGAGGAGAGCCAACAAAGTTAGCACTGTGCCCAATGATGTAGCACAGAGACCCCTGTAAAAGCTGCCCACTTCAGTAACAGCCTCGTGCTCCTTCTGACTGACTGATCACACTGTACATACCTGTCCACTGAGGGGGGCAACGGCAGTTGTAAGTATTGACCCCATCCACACAGACTCCTCCATTCTGACACTTGTGGTTAGGGCAGTCATCAATATTCTGCTCACAGGTGCTCCCTTCAAAACCTTAATAAAAGAACAACAGAAAATGATGAATTCTCTTCTCCACAGGACGTTGTCATCAGAACCAGATCTATTTCATTATTTCAGCTCAGGAGCCAGCAGTTCAAACCAGGACTCACCATATAAAAAAATCCCCCAATCTTCTGTCTTCTCTTGCCTCAACTACAGCTAGACAGTTAAAGTGATTCATTATTCCAATGATGACATGTCCTCACAGTTACCTCACAAGTATTTCAAAGTGTTTTCATGAAATAAAATCCCAGTGAAGATAAATGTCTACTCAGATGGCTATTCACTGGTTCTAAAAAAAAGGATATTAGATTTGCCCCAGCTCATGCTGGATTAATGGGAAGAACAGATAAAAGATTACCTAATTAAATTTAAATCCCTTAATTTTTTTCTTGGGATGATTGCTTGGGAAAACTAGGTAAGGGGGGGGGGGTGCCTAAGAAAAAATACTGAATTTAAAGTCTGAAGATATGGGTCAAGTTCCAAACTCACTACCTACAAGTTATTTAACACATGGTAAGTAACAAACTCTGAATCAGCTTCTTCATCTGTAAGATGAGGCTGATTCCACCTGCCTAGCCTGCCTGTCTAGGCTGTTATAAGTACCACAGCATGAGAAATGTACAATATAAATATTAAAAGCTACCTGAAAATGGGGTGGCATTATTACTGGTTAAACTTACCAACCCTTCCAATTCTTCATCCTCCCCTCCACATTTATAGCATTGCTTCCTTCCTCTTGATTTTTCCCTTTTGTGAAAAATGGAAGGAGCCCAAGGAACTTCACCCTACCGCTCATCATGTGCCCTCTGTAATACATGTATTGGGCTTCTTCCTCCTCACTACCAAATCCCTGAGCTATTAAAATAGAAGACTACCAGCTTTAAAACAAGAGAATGTTCACTGAGCATTCTACTACTTGAAATATATATATATATAGTATGACTGTTTGGCCTCTTCAAAACATCCCTTAGGATTCTTCTCTCCCATGCAAGATATTATACTAGGCACTAGGGATAAAACAGTGAGTAAAAGAGCCAGGGTATTTCCAGCCCAGTGGGCTGACAGATATCAGTCACACCTTGCTTTTATTCACTCCTACCGCAAGCTACTGTGGTATTCTATTCTACGTCTGCTTTGTTACACTGCAACATGGCTGGTTTCTCTGAATACAGTGGCAACTCATATAATTGAGTATAAAACAAGTAGCCAAAAAAATCACCCTTCACAGGTAATCATTTCACAGAAAATGGGGATAACTGAAGCTTATGACTAAAGAGATTTGTAGTTCTCCAGATATTTGGTATTCAGTCTACTCAAGGAGATGAATCACTAAGTAAGCTTAAGAAGGACTATGAAAATTTTTGTTAGACTCAGATTTTTAAAGATTTATCATATTACTCATATATCTTCTTAATCATATAAAAGCCTTACAAATGGCTGAGTCATAAAATGTTACTTATTTAAGCCTAACCCTAATTATGAGAAACTGAGGGCAAATCTACAGATTCACTAAGCAGCAGTCCCTAAACAAGAACTATGGCCTGTGCTCACAGTTGAGTGCTTTTAATTGAAGCACTCTTTAGAAAAGTTAAAGATACAGTTTTAGAGTGTGGGAAGGAAATAGGGCTCCTGGCCCATCCTCTGGAGCAACAGTTTGGTGGTGCTCGAGACCTGGTGATGGTCATCCTCCTCCTGACTTGATCTGTCTGGTGACTAAGACTAAATACGGTTGACCAGGGTCCTCAGGGAGATAATGAGGCCCTTGTAGGCAAACTACAAGGAATTGAAAGTATGACCCTGAATTTATACCAGCCAATGCTACAACTAACTAAACTCACCAACCATAAACAAATTAAGAAAGCAGAAGCATTTCAGCATGACCACAACATATAAGAAATAAAATGTCTTATCTTTATGACTGACTGACTATTTTGAGGTTGTACTTCCCTGTCAATAGGTAGGTAGATAAGAAGGCAGGTTTGTCATGGAATAGCTGAGTGACCATGGGCAAGATACTTAAACTTTCATTTCTTTCTGGGGGAATTAACAGGATCTACCTCAAAGGGTTGTCATAAAGATTAAATGATTGCATGTCTATATTAAAAACACTTAAGTCAATAAATGTTTTTGGAACAATTGACTATCTACATGCAAAAGGATAAAATTGGACCCTTTCCTCACACCACACACAAATATCAACTCAAAATGTAGGTTAAAATTATAAGACTCTTAGAAGAAAACACAGGAGTATATCTCTGTGACTTGGGCTAGGCAAAGCCTTCTTAAATATGACTGAAAGCAAAAACAACAAGAAAAGAAATAGATAATTTGAACTTCATCAAAATTAAAAACATTTGGACTTCAAAGAATACCATCAAGAAAGTGAAAAGACAGTCCACAGACAGGGAGAAAATATTTGCAAATAATATATCTAATAAGAACTTGTATCTAGGATATATAAAGAACTCTATGACAATGGTGAAAATACAATATATAAACAATAATAAAAAGACAAAAAACCCAATTATATGAGATAGCACTTCACACTCAATAGGATAGCAATAATCAAAAAGATAGATAATAACAAGTGTTGGTGAGGATGTGGAGAAATCCTCATTAACAGCCGGTTGGAATGTAAAATAGTGCACCTACTTTGGAATATAGTCTGGCAGCTCCTGAAAAGGTTAATCACCCAGCAATTCCTCTCCTAAGTATAACCCTAAGAGAAATGAAAATGGATGTCCAAACATAGCAGCATTATTCATAATAGCCAAAAAAAGTGGAAGCAGCCCAAATGTTCATTAACTGATGAACAGATAAATAAAATGTGGTAAATCCATACAATAGAATATTACTCAGCCGTGAAAAGAATGAAGTTCTGATAGCTCCTACAACATGGATAAACTTTGAGAACATTAAGTGAAAGCAGCCAATCACAAATGGCCACATATGATTTGTCCACTGATATGAAATGTACAGCACAGGCAAATCTAAAGAGATAAAAAGTAGATTAGTAGTTGCCTAGTGCTTGGAAGGAGTCTGGAGGAGAAGTGGGATGACTACTAATGGATACAGGGTTTCTTCTGGAGTGATAAAAATGTTCTAAAACTGATTATGGTGATAGTTACACATATCTGTGAATATACTAAAAACCACTGAATTGTATCTATTTTTTTAATTAATTAATTAATTTCTTCTTATTTTGGTATCATTAATCTACAATTACATGAGGAACATTATGTTTACTAGACTTCCCCATCACCAAGTTCTCCCCACATACCCCATTGCACTCACTGTGCATCAGCATAGTAAGATGCTGTAGAATCACTACTTGTCCTCTCCATGCTGTACAGCCTTCCCCGTGCCCCCATACACATTATGCATGCTAATCGTAATGCTCCTTTTCTTTCTGCCCCCCTTATCCCTCCCTTCCCACCCATCCTCCTCAGTCCCTTTCCCTTTGGTAACTGTTAGTCCATTCTTGGGTTCTGTGAGTCTGCTGCTGTTTTGTTCCTTCAGTTTTTTCTTTGTTCTTATACTCCACAGATGAGTGAAATCATTTGATACTTGTCTTTCTCCACCTGGCTTATTTCACTGAGCATAATACCCTCTAGCTCAATCCATGTTGTGGCAAATGGTAGGATTTGTTTTCTTCTTATGGCTTAATAGTATTCCATTGTGTATATGTACCACATCTTCTTTATCCATTCATCTACTGATGGACACTAAGGTT